GTTTCCCAGTAGTGTTACGGCTGCATTCGCATCTATCATCATTTCCCGGGATATAAGTTTGATTATTTGGCAGAAAATAAACTATTTTCCAATAAATGGCTTAGTATCAGGACTCGTTTGACGTTTGAAAATGACGTGAAAGACAGAAAATTTGTGTTTTTACTGACCGTTTTAACTTTTGCGCCTGCTTGTCGGTTAACTAAACAACAGAAAAATCTGATGTAGTTTTCTCCGGAAAGCTTCATGAAAATGAAGTTAACAAAATCAAAGCTCGGCCTCAAAAAGATGATTGCTTTATCGAACTTTTTGTCCGGTCGCCCTAGCTTATCCCCTTCAAGTATTTGTGCGGTGTTTTGTACAAGGTAAAGTCTGCATACGAACAAGTGGCCCATCAGGCCGGAGCTCATCCCGGTTTTTGTAGCATGGAGCGACTTAGAGTATTCTACTCCCACCCTAAATGGGTTGCTAGTCCATCGCAGGGTTATCCCCGGCATTAAATTCGCCGGTACCCATTGAAGTCGCCGGTCTTGCCCAAGAACACAAAATTTTCTAACGCGGGCCGCGCAGCTTTGTATTTATTGTCGAGCTTCCATAAAATGGCCGTAATAATGTTTATTAAATGTCCTAAAGTCTCAGGTTAACATATAACACTAGGGCGCGAAGTTAATATTCTGCTACACAGATAACAACAGTTCAATAAAGAACTGACTACCCAAGTAAAAGCACAACACGTTCAGCTGTACTTAGCGCAAAGCGAATGATAATTCGCTTGATTGCGACACATGACAACAGCTCTCTACCCTAAAGAAACCTCTCTTTTAGATCTGGTTTAGGGTTGATAATTACGCAAATATGAAGGATCTTTGATAAAAGCATACTTAAGAATTTCAATGCAACTTACCCGCATTGCAGTCTTCTCCTTGTTCCAAGGCATCGTGCATCGGAGGATTGATGGCAATGCCGTGCGGTTTTCGCAACCTCGTATTTCCCGCCAAAAATAATTTATTCCGACAAGGACACTGATCGCCGCCAAAAACAACCTCGTTTATTCCGAGACGTGGGTTTTTCGATTCGCGATCGTCTATACTTGCTATATAGCCAGGAAGATATTGCAAAAGAAACTGAGATCTAGACATCATTGCAAGATAACAATGTGCTTCAAATAAAAACATAGATTATACTTATAAAGCCATGTTCACCGGGGGTTCATCGATCGAAAACGCTGGCCATGCTCCATGACTGTATATCCTGATTTCGTTAAGTGAAAATTAACTCTACTGATCTAGTTATTACCGATTTCAATCTTGTTCGGGATTCATACCGATATTTCTTACCACAGTAGATTTCTACACGCGGGTTCCGCCATGATTGTCATAATTCTTATAGCACAATACATACCGGCTTCCCCGGACGCGACGTTGTTGGCAGTGTTTCCATGCAGAAAACTCTCATGGAATCATAACCATTTCTTTTAGCCTCACAGTGAGCTATTCTGGCGGTTTTTGCAAGGAAAATATAGAAATAAAGATGCGACGAACGTATCACGGGCCTCAAGCATAATTCAAGGCAAAACCGGTCAAAACTGCGTGACAAAGCACGTATTGGGTCCCGTTTCATGTTGCGTTTCCTGGTATGCGATGACAAGTCGTGTACAAGATTAAAAGACTTCCTGGACAGAATTATTTTAGAGGGTAAAGCTCTTCATCAATGTCTATTTATCGTTCAGGAAACAGTTAAACTAATTTTGTACTGGTACCATTTTTTGAAATGGATTCAACAAATGGTCTGTTTCAAATTCATCCTCCAGCGTTGATTGAGGGCTACACGGAGTTTAGATCAGACTCACACGCAGGAATCTATAGCATGTTAGTCTGCGAACAGGCTCCCGGTGAGCCCGATAGCTTTGCTCTCCGAATTCTTCTGTTTCGCGCTCGCCGAATTTTTTTTCCTTCCTCGCCGGGAGCCTGTTCGCAGGCTAATAGCACGTTGAAATCAGAGTGGGTTTTTTTTTATCCCATGTAAAAACGGCCAGTTGCCACTTGAAGAAACCTTTTTGAATTTTGACATGTATCCGACCGCCTTGTTAATATAGAGGATTTTTCACCCAATCACAGGCCAGGAAACCACGTGTACTATCACTTGATATTTGACATCTTTCACTGGTCTGGTCCAAACTCGTACGTCAACAACCCTAGAAAATGGACATTGCTGTTCAGTCATGTTCGGTTGCACCCGGTGAAACTAAACAAGTAAACAGGAGAAGATCGAGGGAACTTGGCTAAGATCAGCATCTCACCCAATAAAAGAACCCACATTTAGTGATAATAAAACTGATCGATCGTTCAATTCTTCCTACTGATTTAGTCAAATTTCTTTTAACATAAGTTGTGGGAATTTGATTTTGCATCAAACGATTACCTAAACTGATGATTTTGAATATTCTCGTTGCCTTCCTTATGAATAATGTGTTGATTGTGTTAGGAGAAATACCACTTTGATCAGTTGACTTGTTCAGTCAGCACGTTGAAGTGTCAATCCACCTGCTGCCCGGGGTCAGCAGATCACGACAGAAAATTCCCGGAAATAATGTGACCGCTATTTTCGACAGCAAAATGGCGGCTGATTTAGCAGTAGCTGACAACTCCGGGGTGACAACAGACGGTGAAATCATCGTCTGTACCCTTCAAAATCTACAATTTCCCCATACGATTGAGAAAGATTCATAGGAAGAAACGTTTAAAAGCCGGATTACTTCAATTGTGAGCCATGGTTGTTGTCAAAATAATTTTTATGCTCGTCGGCTTTGCTGGTGACATCAGTTTTCTCAGGGCAGGCTCCCTGAGTAGAAATAATCATAAAGGTAAGAAAAATCTACGCCTGTGATTTCTAGCGATTGTTTTCACAACCTGAACGTGGAAATTTGCACGAGATTTGTTACTAAGTCATGTCATAAAAAGTGTTGATCTCAAAGTTTTTGCCAAAGCTGTAAATAATGTTTTATCAAAGCGTCCTCGTTTATATTTGTTACAAGAAGTGAAATTTCTCCTCACAAATATAAAGAGACTTTGAAATGTAGGGTGGATCACAAAATGTGTTAAATATTAAAAAAAAAATGATTGTTACGTTGACGGGCATGTCAAACAGTGTCTATTGTCCCCTTTAATTTCTATGCGAAGGCACATGTTCAAAATGAAAACAACACCGGTTGCATTGACCTGTTTCCCCGCGTCCAAGTTTTGTCAGAACCGTTTATGGATATCGGTTATAGTCGAATTTTCAGAGACATTATCATTTGCTTGTTTCATGCTGTATTTCTTTCCAAATTATGAAAAAAGAGGAGCTGTTTTTCTTCCTTTATTTTAAACTTCTGTGGAGAATGCACGAAGAAATTAGAGCGTACGGCTCAAATTTTGAAGTCCCTCTGTCTCATTTTCCTTGCTCCAATCTCCAAAGATTTGTCAAGCCGCAAAGAACGATAGGTACATTATCACAGTATTTTTCCGTAGTTCATTTCTCTTTTATTTCTGAAAATATGTCGATCATGCAAGGAATAATGAGATGTTGTCGGATCACATAGGAATGTCAAATGGGAAATTTAATCCCAGCGGAGAAAAGGGTGGATAATTTGGACGGGACAAGTTTACACCCGCTTTCAGTGTTATGTGCATAGGCGACATCTTTCGACATGCCATCTTTCGACCTGCTATGTAACCTGGCCTAGTTAAAAATGTAAGCACAACGGACTTCTCTACGAAATGAATGATGAAAGACTGAAAGGTTAGGAGTATCAAGAAGTCATTCTGGCAGAAATAAGTCGACTGTTTTGAATGT